TGTAGATCAATTCACTACAGACGTTTTACTTTTCACTTTCTATTCTCCAGGCAACAAAAAGAGAAAGAAGTCTCGAGATGGAGACAAACCTTTGGAAGACAATCCTGAACCCTCACAGGTGAAGACCTAGCATTCGGCGAATGGGTTTGCTTCTCTCGCTCCCGCTTCTCCCACAAAATGTGAAATCTCCTCCAGCCTTCCTCTGGATATCGAGTGAGAGAAAGCACAACCCATTGTACACACAGACCAACAGATGTAGCATCATTAAACCTTGCCTTCAGCATTGATGAAGCCAACAGGAATACACCAAACATGCAGCAGGACGCACGTTTTCATAATTGATGGTGGTTTGTGATGATGTCATCAACAGTCACTGTGGTAAAGACATTCTGATCTCTGACCCGGGCAAAGCCAGCAAGCACAAGCCCGGAAACCTGAAGCCAACAGTCTGACCGATGAGAGGACAGATCAGAAAATGCGCATCTTTCAGTACAATTATATATCTAACAACGTGTTTACTGTGTGATTTTATATCATATTAATGGAGAGGAATATGTCAGGCTGTGCCTGGAAATCAATCAAGATGAATTTATGGATATCAAAGCACTTTGAGACAGATCAGACCCATTTACTTCATATTCTGTTGAATAGCTAATGTGCTGACAGAAAAAAAATACCTATATTAGGTAAGCGCTGTCAGATTTTTTTCCTTCTCTAACTTCTGTTTTCAACAGAATGCATATATTTTATGTTGATTTCTTATCGTTTTGCTTTTATTTGAGCCCTTCCGTTTGGCTGAGAGCACAGGGTACAAAGTGATGTGACTTGTATTATTTGATCTATTTTTAAAAAATAGCCAGAGTGCTGGAAGTCCAAGCACATGTATCTGAGAATAGATTTATTTGTCTAAAATGAATAGCATTTATTATATCAGCATGCGTTTTCTCAAACAGCAGTATTATTATTAGTAGAACAGCATTGTGTTTACTGTATGACATGTAGTTAGGATATGCGCAAGCCATAACTTGAACAAACTTGAAGCATTGATATTAAAATGTCACCTCAGAAATATAAATATATATAAACCATAAGCAATATCCAAAACACGCAAGAAGCCTATTATTTTGTTTAAAGCCCTTATGAAACTGAAAAAATATAGAAAACTTAGTAATTTGCTGCAAGTCGCTTAAAAACTCATTCACATTTCACTTCATGGGAATGCTGCTATATATGTGAATTTCATCTTTTCATACTTCCTGTAAATTAGAGCCTTTTTTGGCATGTTTACACTACCTTTCAAAAGTTTAAGATTGGTAAGATTTCATAAAGAAATTAATACATTTATTCAATAAGGATATAATAAATCAATTAAAAGTAATGGCATAGACATTTCAATTTTAAATTAACGCTGCTCCTTTTTTGTTATATACACTACATTACAAAAGTCTTGCCGTAGATCGCAGTTGTAAGAGCAACAAATAATAACTTGACTTCAAGTTGAAACATCAGTTGAACTGCATCCCTATCATCACAAATACTGCAGAAGACCTATTGGAACCCACTTGGACCCAAGATTCTTACTGTAATCAGTCAAGTTTGGTGAAGGAAAAATCATGGTTTGGGGTTACATTCAGTATGGGGATGTGCTAGAGATCTGCAGACTGGATGGCAACATCAACAGCCTGAGGAATCAAGACACTTGTGCTGCCCATTACATTACAAACTACATTAGAGGGCAAATTCTTCAGCAGGATAGCGCTCCATCTCATACTTCAGCCTCCACATCAAAGTTCCTGAAAGCAAAGAAAGTCAATGTGCTCCAGGATTGGCCAGCCCAGTCACCAGACTTGAAGATTATTGAGCATGTCTGGGGTAAGATGAAGGAGGCATTGAAGATGAATCCAGAGAATCTTGATGAACTCTGGGAGTCCTGCAAGAACACTTTCTTTGCCATTCCAGATGACTTTATTAATAAGGGATTTGAGTCATTGCAGAGATGTATGGATGCAGTCCTCCAAGCTCATGGGAGTCTTACACAATATTAATTCTTTCTACAAGACATTTGTCTAAGCAAAGTCAGACTTACTGTCCTAATAAATAATTAAAAATCAAGGCATGATCATATTCTATATTGGTAAAATAAGCGTAATCTAGAGGCCTTTACCTTTCATTTAAGCCACTTCTGATACCAAATGATCAACTAGAACTCAAGTTTACTTGTTGTTTCTAAAACTTGGATATGTGACAAGACTTTTGCCAGGAAGAGTACATCAAAGACAACCAGTTATCACCTTAAAATATATTAAAATGACAAAAATGACTGACGTTGCTGCATTTTTATTAAACAAATGCATCATTTCTGAACATTAAACTTTTGAATACTAGTGTACAATCACTTACATAACAGAAGACTCTCTAGGCTGCCATTACAGGTTCACTGCCATGACCTTCCCAGCATGAGAAACTATAACCAATCAGCTCATCCCTGCCAACAGGTCACATGATTACATTATGCCATGGGATTATACATAGGAGGCTTGGGTGTGTTTTGCATGTAAGGCTGTTTTTTACCGAGTATGTCGAGTTAATACCTCTATCCTGCATGCATGCACTGGTGATTTATACGGACTGTTGTGCAACAAGCGAGACTCTTTTAGCCTGTATGCTAACAGTGACCTATGACACCGCCAGGGAGTCGACACAAAGCACAAAGACTCAGGCTGGAAACCACTGGATGTCTGTTTATTTTCCTCCCACCATGACATTGAGATTTATAGTAGCAATAACCAAGATAGCCCCTTTTATAAACTTGCTTTGCATCTTGATGATGATTTGGAGTGAACTGAATGTGCCGGCTTGCTTTCAGGCCACACGGACACTTTGTGTTGTGCAATACTGTGAGCTAAACCCACTGAACGGAGAGCACATGCTGAGAGATTGAGAGAGAAAAAAGACAGAAAGAGAAGCAGCATTTTTTTTTTTACGTCACAGTGCTGCATTGCAGGGCAATCCGAGTGATGCATGCTGACGTCTGTATTTGACCCTCCTAGCAAACAGACAGTGATTCACATGCACAAAATCCACTCAAACAACACATTCGGTGAGCTACGTATTTAAGCCTTAAACTGCGGGTATTAAAGATGTGCAGAAAATCCTCTCCAGCTCTTGCTTTCTGTTCAGCGGGTTGGCTGAAGGATAGATGTATGTTTCTACAGAGTTTACAAAGACTTCTATTTGAAAACACCTGACGAATTGTGTATGGATTATTTACATAAAAGTACATGCTCTGATTATATTAGGATATAAAGAGAATATCAAATGCTCTATTAGGTCTTGATGTGGTATTTTAGAATGAAAAGTACCACTAGCCTCCCAATAAAGAAAGATTTGACTCAAACGTGGAGTGGGAAACATTATTTCTGTTCTGTTTTTTGTTTTTTTGGAGGATAGTTTGTTCAAAATTAACATTTTAGGTTAATTTACTCCTTAGGACATGTGAGTAGGCATGGGCCAGTATAAAATTCTATATGATAACCTTGGAAAAATATATCGGTTTCACGTATTGTGATTCCTGCTCTAAAATGTAGTGTTTTGAAATGTCTGGGTAAAAAAAACAAAAACATTTTTTCCTTTTAAAACACAATATATTTTATTTTAAGAAACATTTAAAATATTTTGGAGCAGTAAACATGTCAGGCTAAATAATTCAAATGAATCATTGACTTCTTCTAGCTTCATTTCAAGAGTTCACACTTAGCTGATGATTGATTATAAAGTGTGTTTGGCTGCTGTCCCGGGAGAGAGCCCTGAGCTCATAAGATCCTCGAGCCTGGGGCTCCTTCCCATTTGCAAGGTGAGAGGGGAGTTTGAGCTCAGGTAGATCTCGAGAACTCCCCTGCTTTAGTAGCTAATGAACAGATAGTGATAGCTCTACTACCTACTAGGAGCATGTCTATGGTGCCAATTTGCATTAGTCAATTAACTTAAGTTGCATATTTTTGGACAGTGGGAGGAAACCGGGGAACCCAAGCACAGGGATAATGTGTAAACTCCGCACAGAAATGTTGGCTGGCTTGGTAAGGGCTAGAACCAGTGACGTTCTTGCTGTGATGCAACAGTGCTAACCACTAGGCCACCGTGCCACACATTTAGGAAAGGAGGAGGAGTAGAAGTGCAAGGGGGGATTCTTCAAAATGAAGATGGCTGTTAAATGGAACTCAGGGTATTTAAAGTTTCTGATTGGTGAATCATAAATTGAATAATGCAGGACTGGCTGCAAGCAAATGGCTGCTCTCGAAATTAGTTTAGAAATAAACTTCACTTATTTCAAAAAGATTTTTTTTACTATTTAAAATGGCATCTTTGGAGATCTTTTCTGCTGGCGATACTGTTGTCCTAAAAAACTAAAAAGTAAATTAAAATAACGTGCAGATATACCATTAACAGTTTTGAAATCTTACTTTTCTAAACCGGGATAATTGGTTATCATCTCATGCCTACATTTGAGCACATTTTACTAAAGCTTCTGTAGCCTATTTTGAAAATTAAAAAATAAATGTAGGCCTACCACAACAAAAGTAAATTTAGACTATTGAAACCTGTAAGAAATAGGGTACATTAAGTTTTGATTGAGATAAGGTTAAGTTTTAAATATTGTACATATGAAATTAAATACATTTCATTAAATATTATTCAATGTTTTCAACAAAACTGTTGACATGTTTTTGACCTTAATAAAGAAAAACTTAATGTAATCCCACATCCTGGTGGCCTCAGGGAACTGAACTATATTTTAAGCAATAAACGCAACGCTGAGCTTGTTTTCCAGAGTCAAACAGTAACATTAAGCAGTTTTGTTTTAAGCTAGTATTCAAAGCTTTCTCTTGGGTTATTGGATTATTACTTTGCAACTCTGAGATGTCCTCTGCAGGCTTATTTAGCAGAAGAAATGTGTCATAACTCACCGTGATGGTTTGTTTAGCTGATTCCGTCTCCTCCAGACTCGTTCGATGGCGCGAAAAACAACAAATGGCCTACAAGATGCTACAGGTACGTCATGCTAGCGTTTTTGATTAACAACAAAAATTCTGCAAGTTAAAATAAACTTATGAAAATATCATGCTTCCAGTGTGTTAGTAGGCTATTTAGTGCTTTCTGTGTTTATTTTTTTTACCTCCCTTTTTTATTTTGTTCTCTTTTTTTTCTTTCTAATACTTAGCCTATATTTACTTATTGTTCTTATCACTTTGTAATTATATTCTTGTGTTCCAGTCTCCTACAGATTACTTCCTGATTTAAATTGTACATTTCTTCTTTTCTAAATAAAAGTTTATTAAAAAAAAAAAAAAAAAAAAACTAGCCAGGTTAATTTTACAGACAATTTCAGAAATCGTGATGTTTAAATTCTGTGTGTTCGGACACTAAAACTACGAAAAAACTAAACTCTATAACAGTAAGGCAATATTATGATGAAATTAAATAATAATTATTGGTATGTATTTTAGGCAACTGACCATTAACAAATTGAACTTTATTATAAAGTGTAATAAAAATAATAACAGCAACACAGAAGTGTTTTTCTATACTAGTTTTCCTAAGATTAACTCGTTGAACTCTCAGGTCTGTTGTAGGGGAAAAAAAAGCTTTAAAATCATCAAATTTCACTATAGTTAAGTGGGTAAAATGAAACCGTTTTAATAACTGCTGTTGTTTAATAGATCGATAACATTTCATCCTAAAGGCACAGACCACATGTTCTACAAATTTTTTTGTCTATAAAAATGCCAGTAATCTATTACTATATTAAATGCCCAAATGTTAGTGGTTAAAAAGGGCTGTAAAATGGCAGAGGCCTATAGGCTTGCCCTTCAATTTCAATGATTAGAGCCTATACCAAAAGCTGACCTGTCAAAGTAGGTTTAACATTACCATACTTATGCAACACAAAATTCTGGTGTCTAAAACTAATCATTATCTCTGTGCTGTTAATAAATCACACATTTTAAAACCGTAAAACCACAGATTTCTCTGACAACAATGAATGTAAAGGTTGAATATAACAAGATTTGAAAAGCAGCAAAAATGGCTTTTATACCAAATTTCACTACAGTTTCTGTATTTTGTGCCAACAATCTTTCCTTACAAGACTATAGAGAGATCAAAAAATACCCAAAAAATATAGACCTATAGATTAAAACACTGATTTAAATAAAAAGGTTAACCCATACCTGTAGTTTTGTTTAAAGTTGGTAAAAGTGGTATTTAAAAGCTTTTTAGCTTTTAGTCAACAAGATCTAAATACATAAGAGATTTAATGCAAAACATTCTGAAATATATGTTTGGTTTTCTCTTCTGCTGACCAGCCCAGGATTCATTTGATCTTTAATTTGATAACAAAATAAATGACATTTCAATATCATAATATTACAAGTATTACTACTACTGATAGAAAAATACACAAATTAAACACAGCAGGACATGTCAACTTACTTCATTTATTTCAATGTACTTTGATTAGTATACTTGTGGTCAGAGAGCTGTTATACTCCTAGTGGTTTGATCTTACGACACTATAATGAGCTGGTTGGGGGAGTAATGTACTTGGACTAATGACTGCACATTCATTAAACAGTACTGCAGTGTACAAACGAGCCGGAACACAATGAGATGGAGCAGATTCAGCAGATTAAAAAGACATCGGAAAATAAAGTGCAAAACGATGCCTGGGCTCTTCACGACCCAGAAGTTCCAGAATGAGCACCGCCAAAGAAACGTTGAACTTCAAAATCACTTTAAAAAGAATTGACCTGCCTTCAGTAGACATGAGATGCAGGATTTTCCCTCCAATTTTACAATAAGTTAAAAAGTTATTCAACAAAAATTTGATTTAGGGGTAAAATGTTGAGTTAAGCCATTTAATGAACTAGGAGCAAATAAATCCTATTGAAAATAACAGCGAAACACAATCTAATGCCCTCAGTTATTCAAGTTCTGCAGTCATTCATCTCAGTGCAAGCTTCACAGACACATCGTCCTTCAGTTTAGCACTCAATACAGTGAAATGGGATGATAAAGATAAGATAGGACTTCTTTTTTTGTCATATCTGTTTCTGTTCGGAGTTAGTCAATAAACTCAGATTTAATCTCACTGATCTGTTGTAATTTAATCCAAGGAGCATGAGAGATAATGAAATCAGTCAAGCTGGAGCCTTTAGATTAATGTAATCCAGAGACTGGAGTTTGGCTGACTGTAAACTATGGAAGCACATTTCTTCGCATGATAAAAAAAAGTAAAACATCGCATAATTCTGACTTTTACTTCTTTAAAAATAGTTTATATCTCACAATTCAGATTTTTCTAAAACTCTGACTTTATTTCTTGCAATTCTGAGGAAAATACCATTTAACCCTCTATGGCATGGTGTTGCACTCAGGCAACAAACCAGTTTTTTGGCCCAGAAAACCCCCCCTTTAATTTTTTTAAAATAAAATATCACAAAAAAAAGTCTAATAATAGCTTGTGACCAATAAAATTTAAGGTGGGTGAGGGTTTGATCTTTCTTCTGGGGGCAAAACAGCCATTTTGGGACAATAGCCTGCTTGAGCACACTGCTAGCAGAACATAAATTAGATTTAACTTTGTAACATATTTAAATGTCTTTACATTAACAATGTGTGTGATGTGCATAGATATGTGAAGCATATTTGATTGAGACACTTTATGTTATTATCTGTATACTAAAATGGTAATTTTTCATTTCTTGCCTCAGGGCAACTTTGCAGTTTAGACCCCCTTTGTAAATACAATAACATCCTATTGATGGAAATGTGCAGAAATGTATATATAGAAATATGTATATAGCATTACTGTATACTATTCCTCACAGGAAATGGATATTGAAACATTTTATGGAGGTAAAGAACAAGATTAAGCAGTTGGGCTCATTCCTTCCGACAGCGAGCTTGAAGAGTCACATTAGCTGATTCCATTCAAAGATGCAAATTAAACTTGCAAAAAGCCACAGTTCTGCACAGTTTATCTTTAACCCTGATTAAACAAATCTGATTAAACTAACTGAGTACTTCAGGCTTGTTTGAAACCCACAGGTAAGTGTGTTGAAGCAGGGTTGGAACTAAACTTTGCAAAATATAGGGTGAAATATTTTTCCTCTTAGAAACTGCAAGATACAAACTTGGATTCATGAACAAAAAATGACTAAAATTCCAAGAAAAGATTATATTTTGTAACTTTGACTTTTTTCCCTCTTGGAAATGTTACCTTTATCCGAAAAATGTAGCATTGTTTTAACTTTTTTCTATCGATTGTGGGGGAAAGAAGTCAAAAGGGGCAAGATATAAACCATAAAAGCCTCATTTGTGAGGTTTTTATCTTATTTTTTAATTATTTTTTTGTGGCAGAAACTAGCTTCCATAGTTAAACCCATCCTCAAAGTGCTTATTTACAAAAACAAGACTAAAATGAAACGCACAGAATATTTAAACACATGAGAAGGGCATAGGGAAGGAAATTGTGTGCATATATATATATATATATATATATATATATATATATATATATATATATATATATATATATATATATATATATATATATATATTCATATTCTGGGACAGTTTCATTGTTTATAATTACAAAATTAAAACAGGATCTTGCTGATGAGTAAATTAGACCAGCACAAGTTGGTGTGTGAAGGTGTGTGTTGGTGTGTGTGTGCCTGTGTGCGTCTATGTTCTTGTTGACACACACACAAACAAACAGGTGACGGTGATTACTGGACTTTAGTGACAGCCTCGTGAATGGACTCCGCCACATAGTCGATGTTCTTGGAGGTGAGACCGCACATGTTGATGCGGCCGCTGGCCATTAGATAAATGTGCTTTTCTTTTATCATGTACTCCACCTGCTTAGCTGTAAAACACAAAGATATGAAGATGATTTAGGGACACTGGGGGAAAGAGCACTGAAAAAAACCACACTCAAGTAAAATACCATTATACTCGGGGGGGGAAAAATGTAGTGCAAAATTAGTAAGAGTATCTGTTTTAAATACTACTCAAAGTATGAGTAAAATAGCCTTTTTTTAAAAGTACTCTGAGTATTATGAGTATTTTTTCGATTACGAGTATACTTTAAGCATTACTTGGTGAAAATTATTCCACCTTATAGCCTGCAATTTAAAAATGCCTCTGACATCAGCTCCATTTTCTTTTAAGCTCGTTTCTAAGTGTAATTATTAAATTATTTTAACTATACATTTAAAACATGAGATGTACAAAATCTAAAAAAGGGGCAAAAATCTAGCTGTGACGATATGTTATAGGAACAATCCATTTTTGGGGGAGTATTAGGCAAGTTTTTATTTTTATTTTTATTTTTTTTTATTGAACATTTTTTAATATTAAACAAAGACCGAGATCCACCCAACAAAAATGTAAAATAAAATCAAAACAGAAATACTGAAATAATACGTACAAAATCAGGACTGAAATATATCTGATACAGTCTCTCACTAATATTTACCCAAAATTGTACAGTTTTCTTACTAGCACTATTTATTTTGGCTGAGGTGTATTCCAAACTAATAATGTCCAGTTATAGAGCCTCCAACATAGATCAACGGGAGGAAATAGGCTAATTTCATAACTCCCCTAGAGCTAAACGTTTGAGTTTTACTATTTTTTATCCATTCAGTCGATCTACAGGTTTGGCAAGAGCACATTTAGCTTAGCTTAGCATAGCATAGCATAGATCCCTGATTCGGATTAGACCATTAGCATCTTGCTTTTTCTTATTATTTCTAGAAATTTCCTTCAAATCTTCCTTCCTGACTTATCCGTAGTTAAATCATGTACTAAGACAGAGAGAAGCTCCTGTCCACAGTAAAAACTACACTCCTATTCAAGCAAAATAATAAAAGAATTTTGGTGTCGTATAATGGCTCCAGCAGGGGTCCTGATATTACGCAGAACCTTGAAAAAACCCTAGCTTGGTAACTAGGTAACGCATGCATAATATCATTGTGCCTACTACAGTCATGTCATTATTATTCCATAATAAGAGTATAATTCAAAATGATCTTATACTTTTTGAAATATTTGAGCGAGATGCTTTCCGTCTAATCAGTTTCAATAATCTATGCTAAGCTAAGGTAAAAGTAAAACACTAAAAATAAATAAATAAATAAATAAATAATAATAATAAACTCGCCTTAACTCTGGGGGCCCATTTCCAAAAAAGTAGTGTTCTTTTAATGTTTGTTTCATTCATTCATTCATTCATTCATTCATTCATTCATTCATTCATTCATTCATTTTCCTTTGGCTTAATCCCTTATTTATATATATTTATACATATATTTATATAGAGGTTGCCACTGCGGAATGAACCCCAAACTATTCTGGCATATGTTTTATGCAGCTTTTGCCCTTCCAGCTGCAACCCAGTACTGGGAAACACCCATACACTCTCATACACGCACTCGTACAACTACGGCCAATTTTGATTATTCAGTTCACCTATAGTGCATATCTTTGGACCGTGGGGAAAAACCGAAGCAAGCAAAACCGAAACTCACGCAAGCAAAGGGAGACCATGCAAACTCCACACAGAAATGCCAACTGGCCCAGCAGGGACTCGAACCAGCGATCTTCTTGCTGTGAGGCGACAGTGCTCTGAGCTACCATGCCACCCCCTTTAATGCTTATTAATTTTCATTTTGAACTATGGCTAACAAACTATGAGTGTCCAGCAGTTGAAATACACTTTTTTAACAGCATCAAGGCTTCTTTCATGATGATTTCAGAAAACATTACAAAAGGTAAATAAATAAAGGTTTGACACAACGGCAACAATTAATCTTCAGTAATGTGTGAGGAAACGGCATTAGACTGTTGGAGCAGATGTTAGAAACACATGCATTAGCAGAGTGTGAAAGTGCCAGGAGGAGATGCTTACGGTTGAGACCAGTGAAGCTGAACATGCCGATCTGTTCAGTGATGTGCTCCCAGGTTCCAGGAGTTCCCAGAGCCTTCAGTTTCTCCTTCAGCTGAGCTCGCATCAGCAGAACTCGGTCTGCCATAGTCTTCACATTGGCCTTCCTGGAGAAAAACATCAAGAAAACATCCAGTTCACATTTCACCCCAGTATTTGCAGGGGTAAAACAAGCCTAATAAATCATTAGGATTTTTTGCTATATTTTGTTATTTTTATTTTATTTTAACTTTTATTATATATATAAAATCTATATAAATGATGTACTGTAAATAATATTATTTACAATATGTGATTATTATTTTATTATTAAAGTATATTACTATTATTT